AAAAAAGGCAGAATGAACCTAATCAAAATCACAATCGGTAAGGATTTTGCATATCCGATTACAACATCATACAGAAATATGAAAAAAGATTAAAAAAAAAAAAAAAAGAGAGAGAATTGCACAGTAACCCTACATTTCTTTAGAAGTTTTGATTGACTTTGACGTATACAGTCTGCCTAACTCTCGGGGAGAAAGTACAGAAGAGAGTATATAAAGCTTTATGCTAAGGACCCGCATCCCCCTGTTTTCTGACTGCCCACGTTACGCGTCCACGGCTACTGAATAATTACAAACATGGGGTCCACCACTAAGAAATATCTCTGTCTACCGTCCAATAAAAAATCGACATATCACAAATTTATACACCTCAGCACCGTGTCGGTTACGATTTCCTGCGAAATTGTGGGCTTCCGAGAAATTCTGTTGTGTTTCTGGCCAATCCACATCAACTTTTCTTCGTAAGGCGGCGATTGATAAAGTGTGAAAAAAAAGAGAAAAAAAGTTAATATGATATTGTTTGATTGGTTTAAAATATCATATTAGTGATATCTCATAGATACAATAGAAGTTCTCATGAACTTTTCATCTTATAACCCACCGGATTAAGTACCATTTTTATTTTTATGGAAAGAAAATTAATAATGAATTACCTATATTGTTAGTATTTTTTTTTTTTCTTTCTAGATGTTAGTTCGCTAGGTAGTTCATTGGCAATTGGGAACAGAAACTTCCATTCGTCCGATAACTCTGTTGGGTTTTGGTTTGATGCTTAAATTGAACTTCGAATTGAGCTTCAATCATGGAGGGGGGGGGGTGCCTCCCGGTTTCGTCTAACCTGAGAGGAAAATCTAACACTAAAGATTGAGCCTGGGAGCTGAGGAGGGGGGTACCGGTTGCGCTGGACCCGTTGGGCCCTGAACAAGTTGATGGGCTGTGTCCGTCAGCAGGATGGGGCGAGCACATGGAATAAGCATTTCGTTTTATGCAAGGTGCGGCGCCGATTACATCAAAGTGATCAAACCTGAGAGGAAAATCAATATCAGAGCATGCATATCAACCATTGGATTAACAATTTCTGCAATCATATAAACTTAACTTCAGGAAGTACTTGAATACAAGGAAAAAAAACTAATCTGTTCAACTATTTCTAAACAAATATTTTTAAATATTATAATTAATTATAAAATGATAAAATTAATTAAATATAAAATATTTATGTGGCTTTAACAAATATGAAAAATAATCAAAGTCACATAAT